CAAGAAGCTCACCAAATCTTGCCATGCCCTATACAACCTCAGGTCAAGCTCCAACACTGAGACACTTCGAACAATGTATTTTGAAAATGTGCACTCACACCTAAAATATGGAATAATATTCTAGGGAAATACCCCTGAAAACACTTGCACATTTATTATTCAAAAAAGAATATTGCGAACAATTACCAGCACTCATAAGCTGGAGTCTTGCAAACCCTTGTTTAATAAACCAAGGATTCTTCCTGTACCATGCCTGTGTATATTTGAAATAGTGGTCTTCACAAAGACAATTCTCATGGAAAACAAAGACACTTTTACTTTCACTTCTGATGTACACAACTACAACACCCATCAAAAGGATAACCTACATGTTTCCCACTCTGAAACTACACTTTATCAAAAAAGTAGTCAAAAAAATAGAGGGCATTACATTTTACAACAAACTAGGCAATTAGATACTAAAGAGATTAACACAATTCATACATTTAAAAGTAAATTGAACATGTTGAAAGCTTTCCTGCTTAACAACATGTTCTACAGTATAAAAGAGTATTCAAATTACCACATTTGAATAAATTAAAAAATATAAATAAATAAGAATTTCTTACCCCATTAGACTTTCTGTTTCATGTTAACTGTTTCAAGCTGAAGCAAAGAAAAAAGAACTGGAATCCTGTGAAGCAGAAGGAGAATGCATGACAAAAAAACAAACAAAAAAAATTATGTTTCTCTCTGGATTCACTAGACGCATTATGTGCTGCAGTAGGACTACGTGTACAAATTGAAAGGAGGAAAAAAATAAAATAAAATAAAAAAAAACGTCAAAACTGTGTCATCAAATACGAATTCTAAGATTCATTGCAATAATTTCTAACAAAAGTCCAAATAATAAATTTAATTACTTTTTCCCTTTTCCAAATTCCTAATATTGTTATCTTCTAAACATTTGTGTAATCGCCAATTGGTTATAAAACATTCAATTGTCTTTGCCATGTATATTTAATATTAATTTAATAAAACATTTTCGTTATTCTGTAATAACCTAGAGTTCAAGTGTCTTTGTATATCTTTCCTAAATGTTCTTTGTTTACTTATTTATTCTTCACTGGTCTGCTAACAGCACAGTTCCTTGGATTTTTAGAATTAAATAACTCTTTATAATTCCCTCTTGCACCATCGACTGGTTGTCTCTTTATTAAATACGTCGATTTTAGTTATTTTGGTGGATTGTTTTAGTAATCATTGGGACACGTTCGAATGGACCGTCACAGAATTTATGAGATGAGTTTTCCTGAAAGTATTTTCGCATAAGTTACAGACTCATGGATGATATATATTAGTCGCGAGGTTCGAGCTTTTTTTCAACTTGGAAATACGTAGCGAATTTCGCCATAAAAGTTTTTTGGCTTAAAAATGAGAGGGAATTTGCACGTGCAAAGCGAGTGAAATCCGAATTGCTTTGTAGATTCCTCTTATGCGGAACCACAAGCTAATTTATTGGGGTATCTCATAGACCCAAGCGCAGAATATGCCAGTTTTATTATCATGCGACTGATTTTTGAAATTTTACGGCGAGTTTATTAGTAGTCACTCAATCTCCCAAGTCCTTTTCCCCAATACCCCTTCCTCTCCTCCTCACCCAATCACTATTTTCTTAGGGTGTATCGGACCATAGAGCAGAATACTTATAACAGTATCTTCCACTTACCGGACTCTCTGCCCTTGATTAGCCTCCTTCTGTAGATTTCACACTTTGTTTCGAAAGGAGCGGTCATTCGCTTTAATCTATCGGATCAGTAGTGCCATCTCCGAACACGTTTCTTTCAGGAAGGCCAACGTTTCAGATGGAATCTCGCATTTGTGTGAGTGCATGTGCCAGAGTTTAAAAATGGCGGCTCCCATTAAGAAACGTGCTGTTAATCCTCTTGATAATAATCCTTTGCAGAAAAAAGATGAATCTGGAAGTAGCCACGACGAAGGTTCCGATGGAGAAGATCTCGAAGGTCAACCGATCCAAGAGGTGAGCAAAACAATAGAATCGTATTATTTGTCAATTTAATATGCCGGTGTGTCACGCACTTTACCATATTGTCGTATGTTGATTTTTTTGGGGGGAGATATATAATTAAGATTTGTAAATGAACAGGGTAGCATATTGTATACAACAGTAATTCATATTATGTATAAAGAAATAATTAGCATTTAGAAGTTATATTATATTGTAATATTGCGAAATCATACATCTCTTAACAGCATATACAAGTTGATTTTGAAGGAAGAAATCCATGCGATTCGGATTTTCATGGGATAAAACAGCTCCTCCAACAATTGTTTTTGAAGGCGCATGTGGATTTATCACAGTTGACAGACCTTATCATTGGTCAAAACTACGTTGGAAGTGTTGTGAAGGTACCGAAAATTGTGAAAAAAGAACTTTATGTTGTGTCCAAATCTAATGTATAGCATACTCATTTTTATGTTTTTTGTCAGCAAAGTGCCAATGATGAAGATGATGACGACGATGATGAGAGTGATGCTAATGATGTGTTCGGGATCACATCAGTAATTAATCTCACTGATAAACAGGTTTGGTTTGGATTTAAATTGCATCTTTACATTTGACCTTCTAGAACTTTCTCTTTGGTCTAACTTTTATTTAATATTTCTTTCTGCAGAATTTAGAATGTGTTCAACAGCTGCGCACATTGTTGGTTGAATTATGTGATGAACATGGTTCAGATCAAGCAATTACATTTGTGAGAACCTTACTAGGTGATGATGCTAGACCTGTTGGGCTTATAATTAATGAACGTTTTGTAAATATACCAGTTCAGATTGCTGTTCCTCTTCTTGACAGCTTGAGGTAAATTAAATTAGTATCTTTCATATTGTGGTATTTAAATATTTGTTTTAAGCATATCAACTTGATCATGCTAATTTAGTAGACCTAGAAAGTCTAACCCTGGGCATTCTGGAGTACAAATTATCGTTAGTTAAGATTCTGGAGGCAGATTAATGCAATCGATAATTGGTGGATGAAGAATATCCCAGGATGAATGGACAGATTACCTTGTGATGTTCTGTTAAAGAAAGCAACAAAATGACAAATTTGAAATGTTCTGTGTATTAAAGGATAAATATGAGCCTATTATTCTCAAGAATAGGAAGTCCCCTCAGTGTAATCCTGAAGGGAAACTAAGTAGTAACAGGGAAAATATGTCTATTTCAACTTATTTGTTTGGCCATTATAATAGAACCAATTTACAAATAACCAGTTCGTTTTTTTCAAGATATGTCCAATGCACACAATCTGCAGTTATTTAGTATTACCAGTGTAAGATTTTTGTATATCAGGGGAGTAACTGCAAGGCAGCCTGTTAATACTTTGCATTTGTATTAATAAGATTGAGCTGGTCCAATGTGTATAACTGGACTTAGTTTTATTGGTAAATCTTGCATAATCACTCGTGGGAGATCCTTGGATTATTTTAAGAACGACACAGTTAAAATTTTGTAGAAACTACTAACATTTCTTTAATTTTTATTATTAATGATTGTACTTTTTCCTTGTAGCAAAGAAATAAAACGAGCTAAGGAGAAGAAGATGCCATTCAATTTTAGTTACTTCATTGTAATTTGTAAATTATATAAAATGGAAGGTACTACAAAAAGAAACAAGAAAAAGAATAAAAAACTTCAATCGTCCTCAGAAGAACTTGAAATACTGTGGTCAAATCCTGAAGAGGAACTTATTGCTAAGGTATGATCTGTTTAACTTCTTTAACTTTTATTTACTCAGGAACTTGCAATATTGTTGCATGCTGCATAAGCATGAGAACTTGCACAGGTGCACTTGTGTGTTAAAAATGTTTAATGCATAAAAAATTGTTTATTTGTGTGGTTTTTATATAGGAGGCAGAGTGCTTCTTTGAATTCAGTGTGAAGAAAGAATCTGATTCTGGCCTTAGTGGTCAGTGGCTGGAAGATGACGAAGAGATGACTCCGTACAGAAGGGTACTTTTGGTTCCTGCCAATAAACTTGATGGTATTATTGAACAAGTGAAAAAATTTGTCGCTTAGCTTATCTGTATGCTGCAGAAAAAAACTTAAATTTTTATCCATATCATATATAGCGAAAATTTTATGTCATATTTACTCACTTTTTCTGTTATAATTCTACAGACTTAAAAGAAGTAGTAGAAAATGAAGTAATATTTTTGTTAGCTCTTTATTTGTTGGGTGCGAAATAGGATTGCCCTGTTAACATGAAATTGATCATGTTTTAATTTGTACATTTTGCAAACAGGCCATTTATTGTTCATATGCAAATTTTCTTGAGTATTGTATCCTGAATTTTTGAAATATATTATAGTCTCTCAACTTTTGTGTATAATTTGTGCACAATGCTTAATCAAGTAATATGACACTATAGACAAAACATTGTAAGTAGTCATGTAATTATCGTGTAATATGCATGCAGTAATGCAATTTGAGGTAAAGTATTATTCTAAATAAAATGATATGCATGAATGGGGATTGACAGGTTTACCAATCCATTTTGAAAAGAAATAAAAAATACTTTTGTTCTAAATACATTCTCAATGTCATTAATTTTTTTATTACCATCATTGCAAAGAAAGTTTCCTAGTTTAACAACTAGTTTTTTTTTGTTGTGACATTCAGTTGGTAATTATGTAAGTTTTGTGAAAATATTAGAAGCAAAATAAAAGAAATTTCTTTGAATGATTGTGTGAGTAAATATGATATTTAATATAGATGTCTGCTTTCAATACTACACCATTCGTTAATAAGAATGGGTGCTTGTACTGTAAGTGTGTTATTGAAGCATAATGTCTCCGTCATTTTCATGGGATTGCATGAATAACTGCTCAGTGTTTCTCATGCACAGCTTCAAAATTCATTATGACTATGATACATGATTCATTAGTAAATGAAGGAACAGACGGTGTTTTCTCTTAGCAATTGTCATTTATTCTTTAAGCTGTTGACTTATGCTGATATGACACTAGATTTTTGTTTTGTAAAGTTTGTATATGACTTACAAGAATGAACATTTGTGTAGTATCCAAGAAATGTTTCAAAAACATTTGGTAGAGCTGTGCTGGGAAGTAAATGACTACTGAATTTTTCAACATAAATTTGTAAGGATTTTCTACTGTGCTGAATTATTTTGTGATACATTAGTGATTTTGTAAGTTGTAAGTCAAATGCATGAATGTTTGTCATTGATTGGACCTCTGGTGCTTAATGAAGTTTTATAATAGTGTTTTGTATCCTGAATAAAGACAATATTGAATGCATTTTCTGAAGATTTGTTATTTTTTTGGCCCTGAATGATCAAATCTAAACCTTAACAAAAATGGCATGAATGTTCCAAATTGACATGAATTATTACTTTTTGTTTAAAGTTGTTTTTTAGTACAGACTAACCACACAACTGTATTTGGACTGAGGACCAGGACTAACCTATTAATAATGGCTATTTAATTTAAATTAATCCTCTTGTAAAGCTAATTATTTGTATTATGGGTGAACATTATTAATTCTTCAGTATAATTTCCAACATTTTGTCTTCAGTTAAATTATTTTCTCATGTTATAGATCAGTTTTTCAACTTGCAACTTGTCTATCTTAAAATTCTACAATGTGATGCATGAACTTTATTATTCACATTCATTAAGATTGGAGAAACTGGATAAAAACCTTTAAAATGTATAATAATACAAAATTAAGTTTTCATTCACTGATATAGACCTAAGTAGTACATATAATGTGAAAAAGCTATTTAACCCGGGAGTGCTCGCAATGTATCAGATATAACTGCAACTTTTTGTGAATGTAAATGATCTGAAGCTCCATTTACTGAAATATGTATTTTATTTAGTTTGTACATGACCTCCAATGCAATTGTTTATGAATTCTACACTGCAGAATCCTTGTCTGAATATGTGTGGAGAGAAAGGTAAAACTTGACAAAGTACATGCAAAAATAATTAAACATCTTATTAAATAATATTAAATATAATTTTCACAAAAGATTGTGGCATGTTCTAAATAAGCATACATTTTACAGTTCCTTACAGACGTCTCTTGCACATCTTTCCTTTTGAGAAGAAATTGTGACGGTAGATCTTAGATAAGACAAATGATTACATTTTCTGAATTATGCACTTGTCATAGACATGGCTAAAAATAATGCCATAATACCGCATTGGAAAAAAAAGTGAAGCGTTCACAGAAATGAAGGAATATATGAAATATCAGCAATGGGTCGCAATAATTTAGGGACATAAAATTGCCTTGGCTTGGATATCACAGATCTATTGCAGGCACTCCTGGATTAAATATGATCTTTCACAGTAATATTTAAACAATGAAAGTCAATTAAAATGTAGTAATTCAGTTTTTTCTTTTGCAAATTGTTGAGTGACAGACCTACAAATAAATTATCTTGCTTATTGAAATTAATCAATAGAATCTGCAGAAAACTAACCATATAAGATATATTTATTTTCACAATTATTTTATGCCAAAAAATTACAAATTCTATTAATTTATGTGCAAAAAAGACTTGCTTGTAAGTCTTACCTAAAGAAAGGAAGATTCTTCAGATTTGTATTGCCATAATTCTTGCAAATCATATTATTTGATGAAGCAATAGCAATCTTTAAGTTTAAACATTTTCCCTTTAGTGACCAGTAGCTATTAAAAATGCATATTTGAATCATAGAATAATTTTCTTTGAGTATTTCTTTATTTTTAGGGAATGTCACAAGTAGCGTTCATACTATTTAAGCCATACCCCCCACCCCCCAAGAAAAACTTATAATTTGAGAAATTAATGACTAGATTTAGGGGTTTGTGGGGACAGGGAGGGAATAGGTAGTTTCTTACTATTCTACTAAATAAGACCTTTAACCTTTTATTATTGATCCTTCAAAAATTAGGATCCAGTTTCATTCTGTTTTTCATTTTAAAAATAATGATTTGTAGAGAGCAGAATGTTTGTAAGGGTTCAGCTAGTATATTTTATTACTTCAGGCATCATCATCATCATCATCATTAATGTGTACAAATGTCAATAAGCCTTTTCCTGTTTCAAGTTAGATTTGGAGGCTGCTACTTTAAGTTTTCTATTTTAGTTACATTTCTTATTTATCTTTACCCTATAGTATTTTATCATAATTGGTAGTCTTCTCCCTTCTGCCCTTCCTCCTTATCTGTCGCTGTAAGTGGAAATCGAATTTGGGTCTTCTGGTTTATTGCTCTAGCTCTGACACTCAATTGAAGACACTTAAGCTCTGACATTGTGGAAGACATGTACTGTGCTGACATATTCCCAATGTAATTGCCTACCCAATAACAGTGTGGTGACAACCGAGAATAAAATTGAAATAAAAACTTATTTTCTTATTACAAATTTATTCTGCATTTAAAAAATATACAATCTATATTATTTTTTAAGACCCCCTTTGAGACACCTAAAATAAAAAATTGTAGAGCCTAAATATCCAATGTATATTTGCGAGTCAAGATATTTTCAATCGTAGCCCAAGGCTCTCTCTTTGTAACTTGAACAAGGTTAATGTTTAATTAATTGTTTTATTGATCTGAAAATTTTGTATCTCTCATTGCTTTTAATTTAAAAAATAAGGGGAATCAAATCAACTCCTTCCTTGCTGCAGTAATGACCTGTAATATCTCTAGTGATAAGATCTTCAAATATACTTTACCACTAGGTATTATGATCTCATTTCATCATCATTGAAAATATTACTAAATTAATTATTAACATGCACATTGTCCTTTCTTTCATTCTCAGGAAAAATATGGCCCCAAAAGGATGCTTATTTAAAATGGAAAATCGTAGTATTGAAACTTATTTGAAAATTGATATTTTGCTGCGTTCGTAGGCTTCTGCGGACGGAATCAGATATTATGCTATTTGACAAATGTCAATTGTAATTATGGTACTAGATATTTAACACTTGCCAGGGCACATGGGATGTGAAATCAATATAGAATGTCTCTCAGGAACATAACAAAAAATGAGAGATAGATATCTAAGTTATGACAAGACTTGAACACATTAAATTTTTCAATTCAAGAGTACGATGATAACTTGAAATGTCCATTTAAAGAAACAAGAAAAACACAAAACTTCATTTTTTTTGGTTTAATACTGTTTGTACAAGATTTTGAAAGAATATTTACAACAGGAAGTTGTGTACAACATTATAAGATCTGAGAAAAGTACCATCATAATCAAATTAAAATTTACTTTCATACGAAATGAGCAAGATAGCACCAGTGACAAAAAACAGGTGAGTAACATTAACTTACTCTCAGAACACAATCACAAACTATATAAAATCATTCAAAAACAGAAGTAAGGACAAACATGGAATTAAAAAATTTCTCAGTCTTACAACGCTACATCAGCAAGTTGATGGCATGAAGGAGATTGCCGAGCAGGGTTCTTTTGTCTTCGTTTTAAAGTTCCCAACACATTAAGCATTTCTTGAACAGCTGCTGGAGTTTCTTCTTCCTTGCGACTTTGTTGTTTCTGTAATAAGAAAATAATTGAATAGAAATTTGAGACGTTTACACATAGGGTTATCAACCATCTGGTTCTTATTGAACTGTCTTTTTTTTCAATGTTTTTATTTATATCTGTCAAGAATGTTATCTTTTCCTAAAAAGTGTTCTGTATATTCTTCTTTTTGTAATAAATAAGTATTAATTTTGGCATCTATATTACATGAATATAAACACTGTGAAGTAATGTTATAACTAACAAGTTATTTGCTTTCTTGTATTGTCGTACACTTGTAATAAATAAATTAAAAGCATTTTCTTAAAACATTAGCTAGAACTTTTTATGTCATGTAAAAGATAATGAGGCAATTGAAGAAAAGTTTGTTGATGTGTAAAAAATCTTTTTTGAAATGAATTTTATAAACTTACTGCCTGGATATTTATTAAATTTTTATTTATTAAATTGCTTCATGAAAAAATTTAAAATGTTAATCATATTTGGTATATTTGTAAGAATATGTATATTAAATAGAAAATAAAATTTGAAAATTAATTGAGAAATCTACCTCTGGAGTTCTTAAAGTGAAGCGTCCTCCTTTGATTTGGTTAATAATGTCATCTATGGCACCTAAAAAGATAAAAGTTTTATTATTTTACACATTAAATTGCATTAAGTTTTCATCTTATTCCATGCAATTTGTCTTTGTTACTATTCATTTTGCTACATACCACTTTGTGGAGCAGTGGACATTTTACGAGGGATTCCCAACATGTTTGCCATGTCAAGAACTGGATTACCAGTAGTTTTCTCCTCTGTGGGTTTTGTTATGCTGTCGAGCGAAATAGTTGATGCTTTCCGGGGCATGCTAATGCCTCCACTTGGAATAGGTGGAGGTGGTGGTGGGGGAGGAAGAGGTGGAGGAGGTGGCGGAGGGGGACATTTGAGATGATCTAATTCTTCTTCCAACTGATTTACTGTAAGAAATAAAGCAATAATTAAACCTTTTATGAGAGCAGTATTATCATAAATCTGTGTTATATTCTTTAAATGAATTGACAGTACATTTTTTTAGGATAAGTATAATTTAACTTATTAAATTCATTAATAGTATCATATGCCTCTGGTTTATAATGTTATGCTTTATTGTATAAGTTTTGTAACCGAGAAGCGAGTTTTCAAATTTTTACAAATGCAATAAACAAACATTATAAACAGGTTGCATTCACTTTTTTAAAATTATTTGTTAACAGCATAGAAGACACAATTAATTTTGGAAAAGCAGTGTTACAGTTGGCAACAAAAGATGTTGGTTTTGTGAAATCAGGAGTATGCAGGGATAACAGAGAGGGAGGAGGTTGGGCTGGCAGGTTACATCTGTGCCATAACGTGCCATTTTATACATGATTTCTTGGAATGGAAACGTTTTTTATACAAAAAAATAATTTTTGTATTATTTCAGTGATTTTTGTGCATGTCTGATTTCAGAATCACTTTCATTCTTAAGTATTGTTAAACTATGGCTTATTTTAAATCAGTGTTGCTGATAGTTTAGAACAGACTACATTATTTTTGGGATATTTTTTAATAGAATTTGTTCTAAAAAACAGGGCAACATACTTATAGAGTATATAATGATTAGTTTAAGAATGATTTTGAAGTAAAGTAATAAAAATTCAAAACAAATTAGTGCTAGTTTCCTCAGATGATGCATTTTCATACAATACTCACCAATTCATTTAAAATATATTATTTGCCATCTATATAAATAAAATCACTTGAAAATTTGGCAACATATTTCTTTTCAGTAATCCTTTTTTTCCAACTGAATTATTATCCTATCACATTTTACTGTATAAATGCAGTAATATTAACATTTTTTATAGAATGTTGCTGACATAACATTTTTTCTGTTGCAGAAAAAGTTTTCTTTAAAACTATAAATATAAGTATTTGCAGTTGACTTTCTTTTCTTTACCTTTTCCAGAGAGTTGGGCAGTTTGTTTCTCAGCTCTTTCAGCTCTTTGTAAAGCACATTCAAGTTCAGACTCTGAGAGTTTCAACTTTTCTTGGAGAACTTCTAGTTGAGCATCATTTTCTGCTTGTTCCAGTTTTTCCTATAAGATTTAAAAGGTCAAATCAACTTTATTTTCAGTCATTAGAATAATGAAATATATTGAAAAAAGATTGTTTTCCGGATTTTCTCTCATTCTGAAGAACATACCTGAATATCATGCATTTCAGCCGCATGCTTCTGTTGCTGTTCTTCCATTTGTCGTTTCAGGCTCTCTACTTCTTGCAAAATCCTCAATAACTTTTCATCACCAACCACTTCACTTAGTAATAGAGCACTTTGATGAGCCAGGACATTTCTTTCTTTTTGGGCCTAGCAATACACATTTTATGTTACAATCAAGTTGCACCATTGGGAGAGTTATAAGATTCCTAATTCTAGATTAAACTTACTGCATTAGCTTCTGATTTCATTCGAAGTGCCACTTCCCTCTCTTGTACACATTGTTCACGAAGACTGGCCATTTCCACAGCAACAAGCTTTGATACATGGCCCATGTTTTCTTTCATGGCACGTAATTCACGAAGTTCAGTTTCTGCTCGAGAGCGAGCAGAACATTCTTCTTCCAACTGTGCAGTCAAATTAATGACTTGCTCTTGAGCTTCAAATTCTTGTAGGCGAGCTGTTTTGAGTTCTGTTTGGAGTCTAGCTACTTCTTCACTCAGACCTGAAAACAGAATGGAAATATTACAATATTACAATAAATTTGAAAAAATCACAATGACTGGCAGTCAGTTTAAATTGTCTTTTTCGGCCATATTTTTTACCTTTTACAGTGTTTCTCAATCCTTCCAACTCATCATCTTCTTTATTTGCAGAATTGGAATTATCACCTTCATCAGCTAACTCAAGCACACCAGCAGGGGATACTTCCAAAAACTTCTGAACCAACACTGCACTCTTCCTTTTGAGCTCTCGATTTTGTGAATACCACTGAAATGAAATTTTATGAAATAAGTCAAAAGACAGGTTTTTTTCCTACTTAGAATCACAACTACCAGTTGCTTTTTTCTTCTTTAGAATCTCAATTAGCAAAAATTAAAAACTGAAAATGTATATCAACTGATAAATACTGATTAATTTAATAACCATTAATTTAATAACCATAACTGTAAAATAATCACAAGAAAATGGAATGTACATATGAATAGTTTTTGTATGTGGAAAAGTTAATCTCTAAAGTTCTAAACTCAATGTAAATTGTGTAATTACTGTGCTCTTGTTATATTTATTATTTTTTTCAGGCCTACATTTAACATAATTTGAAGATTGGAGTTCAAAAAGAAAGGAATTTTATGTGGACGAAGGAACAATTTTGTAGTAAACATTTAAAAATTAATAGCCGAAATTACCCCCCACCAAGTGTTGATATTGAGGCCGCTCAATTCCTTCTCGTCATAGGCGTCCTCAGCTTAAAACAAGAGAAGGGGAGAGCTACATTTCTGGGTCCCCTTATCCAACTAACATTGTTTCATTTACATATGACATTCTAATTCTGTAACACTTTCTATTTATGAATTCTGAAAATTATTTTTGGGCGGTTGTGAGAGAGTTCGACTCCCACGCATGTATTTTCTTGGTTTTCGTATATTTTTCGATTTTTACGCTGTATTTTGCTTTTAATCTTTTTGCGCATTTAAAGGGGGTTTCTACGAGGGATCGAGTCTAAAGTGGCCACCTTTCAAGGGTAGATTTGAAAGTTGCTTCACGTTTTGCCCGATTTCGTTCGCTTCATGTAACAAGTCTAATTTTTTGAAAGTGAAAATAACTCGATTTTATTTTTGCAAATTACAACTCCCGGGATTCAGTTTCAATTAACGCAGTTTTCAAAGTAAAATAATCGCAAATACTATAAAGTGATTTGATTTATTGAGTCAAAACAGTAAATGCTGTATGTGACGTATGTGATGTAAGAACCATCTGCACACGTTTCTCGAAATCCAGAACCTCTTTCCAACATTTTAATTATAAATAGTGGAATGATTATTAAAGGTTTCAAAAAAGGGAAGTTTCGCAATTTTTGAAAACTAGGCATTTTGCTCCCGAGTTATAGGAAACTTTGTTGCATCGATGAACGAACAGCTGCTTTTTTTTAAATTATTATTTTTTGCTAACAAAATAGTAAATTACACCCGGTGGAACTCCTACCCCTACTAGCAAACGGTGAGCTGAACAAAACGTGCGCATAGTGAGCGTCAATTATGCCCAGAAGAAAAACAAGGAGTCATCGCAGCATTTGCTCAATGGATCAGGAAGCTGGACAAAAACCTAATGAAGATGGGGTCTAGGTAAATTGACCAACTTTCAGCAAAATATGTGATTTTTATGCAACTCTGAATGTTTTCAATTTTATATCCCTAGACAATTAGGCAATAATACTTTCTGAAACAGATACGATAGCAGTGGATGGATAGACTAATGTGGCTATTCAATTGTCATAACTATATATTTAAAATTTATCAATTCGCTCTACATGTCATTTTATCACGGATTTAATACAGATGCGGAAATAAATGTTTTATTATGAAAGGAAACGGGTCCCCGACCTCCAACCCTCTCGCCATACTGAATTAAACTGTGAGGTCAGACTACCCTTGAACAGAAAATAAATTATTACGAACGCTGAAGAATCATTACGTGGTATCGTGTTGAAAGAAATTCAGATTACCTTCACCGACATATCATTGCATCAGTTACATATTTGCTCATCCATGGTATTTCTTAAATTTATTCCCATTTATGCGAATTCCAAGGGAACGAAAAATCGTAGATCGTGTTGTAAATATTTGTGTTATCCGATTATTATAAATAATCGTATTACTGTAATTCCTTGCCGAGGCCCAAGTTTAGTTCGTGTTATGGCGGAATTTGTTTTGAGAAAGTTCGTCCTAACGAAGGTTTACTGTATAATTATAGTCGCCGTATAACTTTAGTCATACCTGAGATGCTGTTTTCATGGCACTATGCATGGCAGTAGTTTCCACATCGTATTTATTTTTTAGTTTCTCATATTCCTTGAACAGACCCTCAGAAGCTAAAACACAAGATCAAGATTTCATTTCCATTGTTATAATTATTTTATCTTAAAAATCAACATTAAATACTATTTAGAATCGATAGAGCACCTTGTTTAAGTTTAATGAATTCTTGTGTTTTCTCTTGCAAAAGACGTTGATGTCCATTACATTCGTTGTTTAGGTCTTTGAAACGTCGTTCAAGGTTGGCGTAATCTCTAGCACCTGCAAATTAAGATTGGTAATTAATGTTTTAAAAATTGGAATAGTTTGTGGGAATTTATAACTAGTGGTGCACACAATGAAGGGTTCATGAGACGTCAGCTCCCCACCTTCGCCTAGCCGACGACACGAGAAACTACTGGAAATACGAGGCACATTAAAAGTTTTCGCATCGTACTGCCACTAGATATTACTTAACAAGTAGCCTATTCATATTTATTTTTTAAAAAGTGCATGGCTTATTGTTTATGTCTGTCATGCTTATGATTATGAAGATCTAACAGTGAGGGATAAATTGAATTGAGAAAGAAATTTCTGGTCTTAATAAATGTAGGCGAAGCTCGAAAATAAATTTGAACTTTTACTATTATCAAAATTTCACAGGTTAAAATGAAAATTGGAACTTTATAAATGCACTTTCTCCTATTTGAGCAAAAACAATAAAAGAAAAATGCAGCCATTTTCGAAAATATTTTGAAAAATGTCACAGGGTTTTCACGTTCAGTATCCCTCAAAAATTCAAATATCTTAATGATTTCCTTAGTGGTTCAACTAGATATTACTCCAGACTTATTTATCAAGTTTCAGCTGAAAAGTTTCTAATCTGACAGTGGTGCGTTCATTTTACATACATAACTTACGTTATTTTAATATGCTATATTACAATATAATAATAAAATAATGAATATTACAAATATTATGATACGTTATTTTACAAATATTTCCATTCATACAGATATACCGATTTTCGGATACCAAATTGCGTGTATCTCCTCACCACCTATATCAATCTTAACCATCTTTGGAATAGCACTAATAGAGCTTAATCCTGAGGTGTGTGCAAAGTCACGGCGGAAAGAAACAAACACGGATTTTACAACCGAAAATTCGAGTTCGTTTGTAGCTGCGATTTCAAAACAAAACAAAAAATGTTTTCTATAGTAATGAAACGTCGACTGGGCCAAGACCATCTCCAATACTGTATTGCAGATGGTCTTGACTGGACCCTATACCCTTGTACATCTTCGGCCCTCATTGCGCCTCGAGTTTTAACAGACTTTAATTTACCTTATTTCATTCATTTCATTACTTACATTTAGGACTACAAAACACTTAAAATTTCTTCCAGCATATGTATATCTCTTTTTGTCACATTGTCTTACCTATCATCAACCTCAGAAATACATTTCCCATGGCTTCTTTCTCACTTACTTTTCTGGTTTTCTGTCAACAGCGTTTTACGTTTTCTCTCCGCTTCCTCGTATTTTGTTTTCCATCTGTATTCATTGCCGTTTTGTTCCGGTTGTTGGGTCGATTGTTGAGGCGACGTGTCGGAAGGAAACCGGAAAGTTGTTGTGTACTTGGGCAAGGGAATTTGAGACGGCGAAGTGATGCCGTTGCTGTAGCTGGAGGCCATCGCTCGCACCCTGCCCTGGGCACTGGTGCTCATGTGGTTATTGTTTATATTCATGACGTTTTCGTTTTCTTGATCAGTGCATTCACATAATCAGTTTCTGCTTCCTGCCTGCAACAAAAAGGAAAAGTAAGATATATTTTTTGAGCAATATTATTTTAACAGTATGCGCACACATAGAACATACACAAACGAAAACAGTGAAGATAAAACAAACATGAACAAGTTTTAATTCAACGATCACGAGAAATATAGATTTTTTTCTGTGCAAAAAAAGTAATATTCGACGTGTTTGATCGTTTTGATAAGGTGTTGGCAGTTCATTAATTCAATTTCGTAACGTAGTGAAGACGTCTGAGTGCTAATGGAGAAAGTAACTTAAGTAAGTAAAAAGTTTCGTCCACCCGCCCATCCGAAGTTCTTCAAAAATAGGGCGTGGCCATCTGTGCTGCTGCGAAAAGGATCGTAAATACAAAAAATAAGTAAAATATATTATGTGCCGCGGCCATGCCTCCAAAACTGAAAATATTTTAACAGAATCATGCAGGAAATTATAGTAATATATTGCCAAATACATGAATCATTAGTTCATAAACATAAAATTTCCTTTCAATTATTTGCAATTTAATCTGGGCTCCGCCACTGCGCTACTGATCTTATCGCATCACAAACGAGAACTGGTCCTATTGAGGTGTCCATAGAGGTAACATCGTTATTTACCCGAAATAAACAAAACAAATTTTAGAACGACCGAGCAGTACCGAGGAATAATGGAGCATTGACAAAAGAATGTTAAGTGAAATCATGACGAATAATGGACTTGGGAATATGGAAATAGAAACCTAAATATAATAGACTCGTTTACAAACATTTAGGCTTGTTTGGTTTTTCCTGTCAAAAACGAAGAAAGGGGACAGGAAATTCTAATGGTAGCGTGTGAATCGGTCGGGATGAAAATGACTTTGGAATATTTGAGTGTTTCTTAGAACGTTGGAAGAGGGAAAACACTCGAATTGGAAATATTTTTAAGGACGTGTTTGTAAATTTTAAGTAACTCTAGGGAAATTTTAAGTGAATTAGTAAATTTTAATATGGTGTTCGTATGTCGAATGTAGTAATGGTCCAATGCCGAACGAAACCCATGTGCCCTAGGAGAATGGTCTTTGTGTGCATGGCCCATGTGTGTAGTTCATAATGGAAGTGATAATTAAATGTAAGACATCAAGACTTGTAGTGGGCCTTATGTGAATGTATTAAAAATTGTTCTGAAGTAAACATGTGAAACCAGTTTGGATGTGGTGTGCATGCATTATAGTCACGTGTTATGTTTTTTCTTGTATGTTTATAATAATTAAGAGTTGATCCGCTAACCATGAACAAGAATCCGCTTAATGAATAACGAATAAAATAAGTCTGCATAATATATACTATTCTGATACGGCGTTTCGTTCCTTTTTGGATTTGCTCGATTACCTGAGTAGGACGTAAGTGTGCATCCTACGAACAGAATTGCAGACCACCGAAAATAAAATTTTCGGTAAAAGCTATTTCCCCAGTCTGAAAGATAAGTTAGGAGAAAGGAATAAAGTAACCACAAGAGAACGGCAGGCATTTTAAGGAGAACTCCACAGTAAGAAAAAAGTGCAGGTTGCCTTCAACAAATGAAAGGAAGGGGGGAGGAGAAAAGAAGGGTCTGCGAAGAAAAATGAGCTTCCCGCCCCAGATACTTTCTGGATCTGTCCCTCCTTCAGTGTATTTTCGAAGCAGGAAGAAAAGACAAGGCTCTCCCCCTGAAATGCCTGAAGTCAGTGAGTAGCGAGTATGGACTGCGAGCATGTCAACTTCTAAAGTGTTTGGTCGCGTAAGTGTACTGCGTGATCTATCTTGGGAGGTTGCAGAGTTCTTTCCTCGCTTGGACGTGAGATCGGGCGCCAACCTTCACGACATCTTGCTGTAATTCCATGTCCAAGTTTCTCCTCCGAAAGGGCACTTCGAGCCGAGGTCCAGCCTCTAATAATCTCTCGATAGTGTGGTAGTGTAGTGCATGTGTGCGTGCGTGTGCACGAACGCGTATGTAAGGGATGAGGAAGGTAAGATCGCGTGCGGTCAGATGCCCGTTTGTTAGGATTCTGCCCCAGCATTCTCCTGATATTGATAGGAAAACGTCACTGATTACTACCGACCAGAGAAAGCATCGCGGGAGTGTCCTCCAGAGATGCGGGTTTCGTGTGAAACGCCCGTGGACCAGCGCTCCGTTTCCGCGACTGGCCTCCTTCTGGGCCCGCCTTCCCGCCCAGGGTCCTCACCACCGCGAAAGACGGAACGCGAGGGGGGGGGGGAGGGGGCCGCGGGTCAGCGAGACCAATTTTTGCCAGAGCAGGAGTCAGCGGGCGCGCTAGCGCGCGGCGCACTGGCCCAGAGTGGGCCACAACGCGGACCAGTCCAGACACATACACCACGCCGGAGGATTCTCGATACTTTGTAAGTCACGAGGAACAATTTGACGATTTTGACCCCAATTTTGGGGAAATTTTAAGATAAAGTAAAACAAGTTTTATACTGAAGAGCTATGTTTATATTAATAACAAAGTTAACGTGTTTCCCAAGCTTCAATGCTATACAATTTAAAAGCAAAGAACTGAATGATAAAAAACGAAAGGAAATGACAGAATTATAAATTACTAGTTCGACCCGACCGAAGCTGGCAATATCGTGAAAATGGGAACATACCGCAACCCAACTTCGAGCCCCGTCTGAATCACATTGGCTCGGTACTTTGTGCTCATTAACATAGGATACTCTCATGCGATGAAGTTGCTCAGAATATAAGTTGTCAATTTATTTGAAAATATATCACAGTCTTCTCATTTTGACCTCCCGGATGCTAAATGTGGGGTCAAAGTAGAGCCAAACCTCCAAAAATGAAAATGGTCGAAAAAAGATGATTCTTTGTCCGTACAAAAATAACTTGTGTCCCGTACGAAGCACGAAAACGAAGTATTAAAGGTCAAAATTCTGCGCCGTTATCGAATTACGGCCAATGGTAAATTGTGTCGAGGATTGCATCATGATTTCTTTAGAGCACAATCTACAAAAATTCTACATTATTCATTTATTTTTATAAGCCACTTCCCAAACCAGCAGTAGCACATTTGCAGGATTTTGTGTCCATGCCGTCTTATAAATCGTACAAAGCAGTCAGCTTCCCATAGCGTCTACTTACAGATAATTATTATTTAATCCAAGTAACGTGAATCAAAACATATTTCGGTTAGTATATACAGATAATATGTAATGTGTGGAGATGACGATGATGATGATAATGACGGAGTGCTACGCCCATTTTTGAACGTAGGCAGGAGCGGAGGAGAAAGCTTTTCCCTAGCAGCATCCCCTTGCAGGATGCTGTTGCACCCGATACCTATATTTTATAGTGAGAATGCTCATATGATGTCGATATTTGTCATCGATGAAACCGTGGAAGGCATTTATGAACTTGAATTTTATTCCCCATCCACATCCATGGGGCTGGGTTCACTGGGGCAGTTCGGGACCGGGCAGAGCGGGGTCGGGCAGAACAGGGCTGGGCAGAACAGGGCTGGGCAGAACAGGGCTGGCAGACGGACGGACGGACGGACGGACAGACGGAGAGAACAGGAGCTCTAAGGGGCGCGGGCTGGGGCAGGGTTGAGCGAGTGGGACGAGGCGGCGCGTGGCGGTGATAGAGAGAAAGCAAATAAAATTACTCGCATTTATACACTGTTGATAGAATTCTTTACTGAGAAATACTGGGCCATGCCGATTTACTTTAGCTTCCATGCAAACGCGCTGTTCACGCAGTGATTTGGGCCCACTGTGTGCGGGGCGCAGGGCGGGGAGGGGCGGGGCGTGCTTCGCGCGTCCGCTTGGGCGCGGCTTCCCCGCGGAGGCGAGGCAGGGCTTCGACCCCCGGCGCAGGCGGGCCGGCCGGTCGCCCCAGCCTCGCGGGCAAGACGCGAACGCGCTGCGCGGCGCCCAATCGCTCGAGGACAGCTAACGGGCTGCGCGACAGACGCGCCGCCATGCGGCGACTGCGGGCAGCGCCAAAGATCCTGCGGGCGATTGTTCAGGCAGATTCGAAAGCAGATGAGCATCGCAGAAAGAGGCAGCCCGGATGGGCCGTCACTGACGATTAAGCGAATGCTCTAGGTCAGGGGTTTCCTAACTGTGCGAAGCGGATCACATTTATTAAAAATAATCTTTACATTTCATTTACTTCAATCATTGTGTTATCTATGTCCACAAAATAATATTGTTCTATCATTATATATGCTATTTGTCATATATGATTTATTTTACTAATTAATTATGAATTAATTGAATCTGGCGAGTCCTTGACCAATAGCATATTATACAATTTACTCATTTGCGTTGAATCTTTAGTAGTTCTATATTAATCCTTAACAATAATTGATACTTACTGTTAGCAGGGGAGCCACGGATAGGTTAGTCGTTAGTCGTTAGCCGTTAGTCGTAGGTCGTGGGAGCCATCGGCGAAAAAAGTTTGAAAAGCCTTGCTTTGGGTTACACCAGGTCTGGTCAACTCTCGGCCTGCTACGTTGAACTGTGCGAGTCACCGGAGAATTTTATATTACAAACTGAAACTGTTGTTTCTCGTAAATATTTCAAAAATTACGTAAATGCAAAATTACACGTGCTTCCGTTATAGAGGAAAGAGGTCAGAAAAGGAGGAAAGATGATACACCTTTTCTCTATTCTTCCGTTAACGTCATGTAACACTTCGAATCCAGCAAATATTCTAAGATGTTTTGGACAAGTTGCAAGTACATATGTTTGTGAAACATTTTTTTTAATTAGTGAAAGAAAAGAGAAACATGCATGTCATTAATTAAGATAACAGAATTAATTATTTTGAGTGATAGTATTTAACAACAAAGTTTTATTCATTTTGTATTTTTATTACTTTTTTTCAAAAGCGAGTTCACCTCAATTGCGAACCTGCTATAAAGTTAAGGGGGAATGGTGTCATCAAAGGGGCCCGTGAAACAATTTGGGTTGGCCAGGGCTGCGTTAGCAATTACGGCTCTAGCTCCGCCTGCCGCGAGGGACTC